GGATGACAGTTAAGAAACCTTGAACTACCTTTAAGGCCTCCTTGCTGAGATCTCAGAGGAACAGAAAACTTGTTGGTGAGTTTGTAACAAATTACTTCTAAACACTAAATCTTGTAGAAGAGCCATCAAAAATGTTTCAAGTAGGGAAAAAAAAATCTCTGTGTAGTCAGACAGGATTAAAAGATGTAAAAGGACATCTTTTTACATGCTTAGGTACCATGTGACATTCCATCCTCAATTATAGCTTCTAAGAATAGGGCCAAGTTTTTGGAAAGCATCCAAGTTCCTAAAGCACGCCCTATGATATTCACATTTTTCTAAAAATCTGATTATTTTCTATGAGCACATAATCTCTCATAAAACAAAATCAAAATATATTTGTAGCCCTGGTGACCACAGAGTAAAGCATTCAGCTTTGAATCCACTACAGCTCAGGTATTCAGAAAACTCTCAGGAGATTAAGAACACTGTACATTTTATTTCTTTTAAAATCTCCAGTACTATGGGAAATAAGAAGATTTGACAGTTGTTATAATCATCAGGATTGGCAATAAAATCTAAAGTATGAAAATTATGCAGATATTATACCTCCAGTCTTGCACTGTGTTAATGCAGAATCAAGTTTTTCCTATGACCTCTCAAATAGCCTGATTTCCTATTAAACCATCGGACTAACTTGATCTGAGATATACTCAAATCAGATTACCTACACTTCTTTTTTTCCTGTAGAAATGCCACTTTTAATTTCATAATCAATTAAAGTTTTTCACTAAATAGTCCATAAGCAGAATCTTGAACTTAGAACCTTCAACCACATCATAATTTTCTCATGAAGTTGAAGAAGACCTGGGTGATAAGCAAAGATTGCTGTTCGTTATGTGGAGACTATCCTGGAGTTAAGAGATTGGTCATACAAGTTGAGGACTGTAAGGACTTTGAACAGGGAGCTAAAAATGCCCAGAGAAATGAACAGTAAGTGAACATGGGTGATTAGAGCCTGAAATTCAGAATAGGGAGCAGACAGGGAGGGACTGAGAGGCTCCTGAGATCAGAAAAGCAAAGGGAGCGAGAGGTCACAAACTGACCAGAACTGTGGCTAGCAGGGCAGAATTCTCTGTTGGCTGGTAACTCACAGGGCTGCTCCCATACTGAAAGGACACAACTGACAGAAGGAGGGCTGCCCAGTGAGGCAGCTGTGGCAGGGAATACAAATGTGCTGATTCATAACAACCTCCACCAGCAATTTGCTTGAGCAAAGAGGGCATACAGTCACTGGTGTGACACAAGCAGGCACTTCCTTCAAAACATTTTCTATAAAAGGGAGAAACTGAAAGATGATGTGGGCAACTGAGGCCAAGACAAAAAGGTTTTAAGGAAAAATTATGTAGAGGTGAAAAATACAAGAGGCAGGGAGCTGGACAGTTGGGTTTGGGGGAAGTCTGTGCTGTGGGGCAAGATAGCTGCTAAATCTGGAAGTTCCAATTTATTTAGACATGGGTTTTTTTGTTCCAGATAATGCCTGGATGCAACAATCCAGATTAGATTACTGTAATGCACTCTACAAGGGACTACATACTACAACTCCTTGGAAACTGAAGCTAGAGCAAAATGCTTATTCAGCTCATTTTCATTCTAGGAGTATTACACCCGCACTTCAGGATACACACTGACTGCCAAAATGTTTCCAGGTGGAAATTAAGAAAGATTGCCAACTCTCAAGCCAAAACTGAAGAGAATAAATTTAAGTTTTTGTGCAAAACTGCAAACTTATCTTTTTTTTCCTGTTTTTTTAAAGACTAGTAAAAAATTGTTAATATAGGTTACTGACATGGCAGCACAGCACTCAATCCCCTGAAATTCATTTATGTCAAATAAAAATCAGATGTACCAAAATAACCAGAAATCACATCATGAACAACTGTAAAAAAACATGTGTATGGGCAGATGAGAGAGTCTTCCTACTCTTTATGAAGTTTCCTTACAACTGGACCAGAGTTAGGTCCAAACAAGGATGGCAAAAAAAGGTCACCCATCTATGCCTCTCGCTAGAGAGCAAAAAAAGAGGGAATAAAGGCTATAAGTGTCTGGATATTTGTCTTTGTTCCCTAGCAGCAGCCAGATGACCAAAACATATCCATTGTATCTAAAAACAAGGTGCTCAACAAGCTCCTTCAACAGAAGTCAGAGATCTTGTTCTTCACTAAGTCTAGAGTCATTCTGCCACATGCTGTCCATGGCAGAATAGGAACTCAGGTAAGAGTTACAACAAAAACATAATCATTAAAAAAATGTCAACACCTGAAGAGGAATAGTCACATACCTAAAATCTGTGTGTAATGTTGAATGGGAAATGCAGGTTTCTATGGCAAACAGCAATCAAATTGCTGCACAAATGAATGTTGTAAAGAGGGGTAAATAACAACATAAAAAGTAAAGAGAAAAGTAAAATCCATTATTGAAAAATGTAAGATAAAGCAATGTCTAGAGTTCACTCACTATTACCCTTGACTGTGCTGTTCCCAAAGGTTATTTCAGCAAGGATTTTGCTAGGAATCTCCCATTTGCTTTCTTTACAAGTAAACATTTGGTGGGCTAATCCATTGTTCACAGTCTGTGGAAATTTTGGGATGACAGCACTTGAGGGGAACACCTATTCTGAGTCCAACACAAGCTGAAACAAAGCTCTATTCATCTAACCTGTTCTTAGAAACCTCCAAGAAAGGAACTTCCATTACATGTATATGAAAGAATGTCCACATTTTGTTTCCACTTACAGATTCATTAGACTCATAGTGAAAAAGTTTTCTTTTTAAAAACTACCCTAGTTATTCCTGGCAAAATTAAATTTACTGCTCCTAGCCTTTCTCCATTGGGCACTGGAATACAATTGATCATCGTCTTTTTTACAACAACATTTTATGTATTAGAAGACTTATGTCTCCCCTTTGGTACTTTCTAGACTAAACAAACCATGTTCTTTAAGCCTTCCCCACAGGTCATATTCTCTAAAACTTCTATCATTCTTGTTGCTCTCCTTCTGTCCCTTTCTACTTTGTCTATGTTCCCTAAAGCATGGAGATCAGAACTGTAAACAGCTTTTCAGATGAGCTCTCTCCAGTGCTCCAAGGAACAGAATAATTGCTTCCTGCTTCTTCTTCAGTATCATATCTATCCTAGAATTAGATCCAACTTCATTGCAATGGTATTCCAGATATTATACCTCCAGTATAATAGATTCCTTTTTCCATGCTATTACCTCAATAGCATGTGTGACTTCTTCCCTGTAAGCAGATTTGTCTTTGCTGAATTTCAAATTTCTTATTCTAGACTCTTTCCAGTTTATCAAGACTGGAGCAGCTTATTGAGCAGTTTGACTGCTCCTGCTGTGCTCAGAGCTTCTCACATCTCTATACATGACCAACAATATTAATGGCATTTCTATTTCACCACTGAAATAATCTCTAAATAAATACTCCACAGATTCAGATAAAGGACAGACCTCTTTGGAACCCTGCTGTAAATGGCCCTCCTGCCTGAAAATGAGCAATAGAAAATTTGTCTATTGGTTGCACACCCATGTCATGGCAATCTCATAATTATTTAAATTAAAAAATACAATTTTAATTAAATCTTTTATTATTGGAATTAATTTTACATTATTTATTAATTACATTGCAAAATTATATATTTATTTGCATATTACAAATATCTGGTGGGACAGCATAAAACACCTGATGAATTAAGAGCGACCAATTTCTGCTTTAACCACAAAACCAGTTCCCTATCAAATTAGATTTGCTTGACTTAATTTTCCTTGGCAAATTCAAGCAGACTAAATATAGGATGGGTATGCTGGACCTGCCTTCTTTTTTAGAGAATGGCCCAAAACTATCACCTAGGAAAAAAGCTGAGTACAAGTGCTGGTAAATACTAGTAAAATAGCTACTATTTCATGTGCTCTATCTTTAATCATGCACCTATTTCCACTCTTCATATAACATCTCAATGTTCTTGAATATGCCTTGATATTGACTTTCATTATGCTTCTTATCCATTCTCCTTCTTGAATAAGCTGTTACCATGCATTGAAAAGCACTTGACTAAATGTTAACTCTCTTACATTGTCTTGAGCCTCAAATTTCTTTCACAGGTGCAGGTTTCTTAAATAAGTTGAAAACAGTGTCTAGGTTTCAGTAACACTGTGGTGGTTATTACCTGTTTTTTCACATCTCTTGCCTTCAGTTTGGCTTTTTTATCCTTCCGTTCCTTGCATAAAGCCAATTTTTTTTTTATTTTACAGATATTTCCATACAATTTTTCCTTTTATAAACTCGGCCAACTTATCTCTGTTAATCAGAAACAGAACCAAACCAAGACAGAAAGTCCTTAATTCCCTTCTCCTCTTTCTGACAGAAAAAGTTGTTCTTAACATGTTCCAAGAATTCAAAGGATAATGTATTATGTTGTTCAGGCTTATAGTTTGTGGTTCGGGGTTTTTTAATTTGCGTTAGTATCCAAGAAATCATGTTTTCTCATTCTTACCTGCTCCTGACTAACACAATTCCATTGGTCACTGTGTAAAAAAAGTGTAATTTGCCTCTTAGTCTCCTCCTCCTAATTAAGGAGGAGGAGACTACCGCCATTATATTTTCATCCCAGTTTTTCACTTTTATTTCCACCCAGACATTATGAACTTATAACCTAGTTTAGTATCAAAAAATGATTTTTCATATAAAAGCAATGTTAAATTTTTCCTCAGGCTCCTTCATCTGAAAATGAGTTACTTGTTTCTACAGACTGTTTTTCTACTCCAGAAAAATAAGGCTCCAGACAAAAAGCCAAAATTTTAAACTATTTCAGGATGGAAATAAATACCAGAGCTATTAGCTTCAGATCAAGGAACGCATCGTTGCTTATTAGACCTTTGGAAAAATTATTTTATTCTGAAATAGCAAAAAAACAAAGTTATAAAACTGAGGGTGAAGAAAGAGGTGACCAACCTGATCTGGAGAGGGTCTGTGGTTGTGTTGTGTCCTCCCAGGAGACCGATGGTGGTGGTGGTGGTGATGGTGGTGGTAGTGGTGATGGTCATCATCATAGTTATCTGCCATCAGCTTCATTCTGTTTTGTGTCTGTTTAAAATGTAAAGCAAGACAATTTTACTGCATGTTGGAATGTATTATTCTGACAGTGTTTTAGGAATCTCTTGGCCCTGGGGGTTTTTCGGGAGTTTTTTTGAGCTGAAGCATCTAAGAATAGAAATCCAGACTGCTGGCTCACAAAGAAGAGGAAAGTGAAATAGAGAAATCAAGTATGTGAACACATCCTCTGTTTCAGCTTTCACATCCATAGAATGACATGAAGAAATTCGAAAAGTATATGATGACAGATGATGTGTTTGAAGGGCAAAATATATTCAGCTTTTCTAAATGTATTATTTTAGAGCTGTTCCCTATTTTTCCAGTCTAACATTATGTCTAAGCAATTGACTTCTTAAATCTCACTGAAAGGAACATTAAGTATACCTCAAACATTTACAGTTGGCTACCAAGGCATGTCAGCAACAACCATGAATAGCTCTAAAAGTTCTATTTTGGGTAATTTATTTTAATTGTACACCAGGATTGCCCTGCTAAACAGTAAGTAAAACGAATCTGAAAACTAAGTGATAGAGACACAGGCACTTAGAGAAATAAGTGATTATGGAACTTGACACACTACTGAATGGAAGTAAGTAAAAGGTATAGATCTTGAAAAAGAGATCAACACTTCAGCTACAGCTGTGTACAGATAATAAAATCTATGTCACCATGGGATAACAAGATACAATGCTGCTCTTTATCACTATTACAATTATTCCATACCATGAAATACACAGACTTGAATAATTCAAACCTTGCTCGTAACACCAAAAATATCTTTCTACCAATAGTCTGACACCAATAGATGCAGTCCCTATTTTTTTGCGGTACCAGGACTGAAGACTCTCTCAGGCAAACCTCTTAAACTGCAATCAAGTTTTAATTAATTTTGCATTAACAAAACCCAGAAAAAAATGGTGTAAACTCACAAAGATCTCTTCCAAAATTAAAATAATCAGTTAGAGGCATATACAATTAGTACCACACAGATGACTGAAGGAAAGATAGCAGTCTTAGCTCACTTGATGTCATGCTCCAAGACAGAAGGATTCATGGCAACCCCATTGAGGATGGGAGCTAAACACATTGCCCAGGACTTTGCCCAGATTAATGAGCTCCAAAGGACCAAGATAAGCAGATGAATTTGAACACAACTCATTTGTTCAGTATGTCCCCATATTAACTGGTCTAACTGCCTTCCAATGCCAAGTGCCCATGAGATAACTCATGTCCCATAGCTAGGATGTGGTAAATTTACTTCCAGGACTGCTGTAATTTGATTTTCCTTCAACAACAATTCTATATGAAAGTGTCTGTTTGGAAAATTTCACTGGCAAGTATATTTTCATGTAAAATCCAGAGACTGCTATTAAATTCTCCAACTTCAATGTTTTTTTGCTGAAGTTGAAAAGGGATTTGAAAAAAACAAGCAAACTAAATATTCGTATTACGTAATATTTCAAGTATAACACAGTCTAATGGCAGGACAACAGCCACAGAATCCTAGGAAGTCCTGATGTACCTTTTCAGCAATTAATTTTTTCAGTTGTCACAATGTTTCTCAAGCACTTCGCATGATGCTCAATAAAGGATCAGAGAAAACTGCTTTACAGAAGGGGAGCTGTAATCAGTTTCAGTAGAAACAACCAACTAACCCAACCAAATCCTCAAGGAATCCACAACAAAAAAACAGAGAAAACATCACAGGTCAGATGTGCACTATTAGACTTTCAGAGCATCTCCATGGCACTCTAAGAGCATTTTCTCCGTACAGAGTGAGAAGAACCAGCACAGTTGGAAATATTTTATTTTCTCCCAAATACAAAGATGGAAGCAAGCAACTGAATGAATTTCAGTTGTGAAAGTTGTGACTTTCTACTGATTTTGATAAAAAGATCATCTCAGTCTGAATCACCATGGTTGTCTGTTTGTCTTTAGATTCAAAGAGGAAGGGCTTTTGAACAAAAGAGTGGAAAAGATGGAGAATTAATAGACAAATAATAAGCCACTTACTATAAACACTGTCATACTCTGCCTCTTTGGGGAAGCTCCTAAAATTTTATTAGTTTATTTTCTTATCAATGAACACCCTTAAATTTCCTACCTTTCAACTGTATTCCATAAAGAATGCAAAAGTTAAACAAGATGAGATATGCAATCCTAAAAGTGTCCTTTGTAATGAGGTGTTGGGGATTAGGCGTGTCATGGGATAAGAACTGTAAATGAATGATGTCATCTTTCTAATTTGGTGCTGAAATATAAATAAACTACTTCTTATGTTTCTTCCTTTTGCATGCCAGATTGCAGTAAAATGTGCACAAAGAAATGTTAATGCTCTAGTAGCCTTCCTTTAGTGTGCCTTTCTGGGAGAAAAGAAATATGAAATGAGAATTTCTTTTCCATTCAAGTAACCATCAAATCATCTAAATGACTTGTAACTGCCATAAATTTCTTAAAATGATGCAACTTACCTGGCAAAAGAATACTTTCAAAAGCTTTTTGGTTTTATTTGTTAGCTCTTCAACTGATAGCAGATACAATTTTAATGTTATATTTGTCTTTGCTTTAGCTAGTCCTAGTGCTGCACTTCCACACTGAAAATACCTGTATTTTCCAGGTATGCTTAGCTTTGGCTTAACAAGTGCAAACACCTTATGATTTCAAACTGTTAAAAGCAAGATTTTTGAGGAGGACAAGCAGGAGGATTTCTGGAGAAGAACCAAAGTAAAGCTATCCTGAGGAACAATACAATCCTTTTCACATCCTTCTAAACAAAAATCTGTAACATCACTTCTGTTTTCTCCCTTTGCCAGCTTTTGATATTTAGGAGGCTTTGAAATGCCAACCATATTTTTATTTGAGGAAGGAATTAATTAACCACATTGGAATTTGTTCAGGACCCCAGGGCTTCACACCCCTACACCTACATACAGGCACACAGCAAGGTGTGTACGTGTTGGGACACTGGTTTATCAGTCAGAGGAAAATCCTCCTGGTCTGGGTGCCAGAGCAGCACATCCAGGGACTGCTCCAGGGCTGCCTGAGAGGGGAAATAGCACACAGTGACCTGGCAATGCCATCACTTCCTGCAACACCTTCAGCATGCCTGAAAAGTTCCTGTTCAAGGACAGCCAAGACCTTTACTTACATTTCTTTAGAAAGCACAGAACATCACTCAATACTGACATTTCTGGATGATCAAGAAATTGAATCTTGAAATATACAATAAATGAAAATTAGAGTGGTGATCACACATGCATTCAAACTGTGCAATATCTAATGTGCACCACTGGTTACTCTGCACTATTATCTGAAATAGTTCTATTGCACAGGTCAAACTTGTATTCACATTCTCCTCTCCCACCTGAAAATGGGGTTTCAAAAAATTTACATAGCCACAGCTCAGCCAACAGTTCTTTCTGAATATGTCTAGAGAACAACAGGCCCACACCTGACAAGGAATGTGTTTTAATTTGGATTTATACTAGAGAAGAAAAACATGTGAACTTGTAAAATGCAACAATTAATTAACTCTATCTCCTAAAGACCATGTATGGCCTTATTAGTTCTAGTCTAAACCGTGTCCTCAGATTTTTTTTTGGTCTTAATTTACTGACTCCATTCAAAAAATACTGCATCCATTTTGAAATAAAGGAATGATCAAGGAATTAAAAGCAGCTCAGATCTTCTTGCACAGGTATATTAACCCTTAGGGCTTGAAACAGTTGTCTTTGATCATTCAATATCACTATTTGCTAAGCTGTCAAGGTCATGAATGGTATGTGAAACTGAATTTTTAACCCACTTACCAAAGAATTTATGACCTAGCAGTGCAAGAAAACTGACAGATATTTCTTGTCCTCCTAAAAGTCTGTTGAGTTTAAGGAAGGATATACCAAAGTGAAATGAAAGTCTTTGATTGACTGGTAACAGACAAAATAGCTTAACAGCAATCTGTAACTGTAAAACTGTAATATTAAAACTGTCTTTTACAAAATATTTTAGCAAGGTGGCAATAGGGAACTATGCTTTCATCTGTCATCTGGATCAAGTTAACAATGAAACTCTCATGAATGAGGTTCAAATGAGGAAAAATAGTAAGATTTGTTGCTATGGGATATAGGTGTAATACAATTCAATAGCTATTACTTTCCTTTGGATTTTCTTCTCAATCTCTCTTCATTTAATGGAATTTGAAATATTTCCAGAATATTCACTTTCAATAAGGCAGGATTTTTCCCTATGTGAGAAGGAGGCAGATATAAAACCTGCAGGCTGTCCTGGAGCTATCCCGGGGTCTAATTTTTAAAGGACAAAATTTAAAATCTAGAGACCCACATTGTAGGTTTGATTCTGCAATGGCCTCTTGTTGTCTTTAATGACACTGAAACTTTTTCTTGCAATCTCACTGTTTGAAAATAATTCCACATTCTAATTCCATTCTAATAATACCACAAATAACTCTGAAAACTTCATGAGGCAGGCATTTAGTTCTAGTCTTCATGATTTTTAATAACAGGTGATTTTATCTGAGCTTTTTTTAGTTCTACAATAATATTTTAGAAAACAGAAAAAGGCAATGATCTAAAAAAATTGCATTATCCAGACTAAAGAATTCATCAAGTTATTCAGATGCTGCATGAAGGAATTATTGGAATGAACCTAGATTTAATGAAAGCCTGTGCAACTGCAATTGGTTTTCCTGTATGAATCCAGTGCTTCAAGCCTGACTTGCATTGACAAGAGGGTTAAAAAAAATGTTTTCTAATTAAGCCAGCTCTGGCCTCATGCTCTCCAAATAAAATCAGTTTTCACATTAGAACAATATTTTTGTATATTCTTTGAAAATACTTGTCATTTGAAGACAAGGGAAGAATTTCTTACCATTTCTACTGCTGCACAATTCAGAAATCACAAACTTCCATGAAATACAATTTATATTGGATGTGCTATTTGGCAAGTTAAAATTCATTAAATGTTGGACAGCAAAC